ATATATATATATATTTTTTGTTGTTGTTGTTGACACATATAATACACGTAATAATAAAGACCACGATTAAAAGGTCAAACATTTTATTGTATATATGTAGTTATGCATCTACGTTTTTTTTTGATATACAAAAATTCATACCATCTAAAACTTGTGAATTTACATCTCTCCTGCGACAACGCTTGTGATTAAAATACCCCTTCCAATACCCAACTAAACCTCTACTTAAACAAACAAGTTGTAATCGCGGTGATCGAAGCATCGATGAAAAACCGTCGACGACGGAATGAACTTTACAGGTAGAACATGCTCTATTAGAGACAGACGAGATAAAAATCTTTAGAAGAAACTTAAAAATATTGACAATGATCAGAACTAAGGTGCGGTAAACCCATGAATGCATTTGATTGCAAAATCTTGACCTGTCACAATGATATGTAAAATGCAAGCACATTGTGCTTGTCGCTCTATAATGATGATAGGTATTACAAATAATACCATTAACGTAATATGAATACTAGTAGAGTAAAATTTATAACAGTCGAAAAATTAATAATTTTCGTAAAGTGATAGTGATAGTACTGCTTTTGGTATAATAGGAATAATAGTAATAGGGTAGTAGAGATAGTAGCAGTAATAATAGTAGAAGTAGTAATTGTAATAGTAATAGAGTAGTGTAGAATAAAACAGTAGTATAGTAGCAGAGAGTAGTAGCAGCAGAAGTAGTATAATAGCAATAGTATGGGCGTAATGGGTATATAGCGGTGAACGGTGGCGTTGCTAGTGCTGGTGTTGTTTTTGTAGTGTGTTGATAATAATAATGTGTAGTGATGGCGCTAGAGTAGTGATAGTGTAAGGGATATAATTGTTTAATGGCAGTAATATTATTAAAATAGTATACTAATAGTATTATCAGTACAATAGATAATTATTCTCGTATACCTATTTTCATAATCTGCTATTATCAAATGAAATCAGGATGACAACCTCAGAATATTTTGGTAAATCACGTTTACATAAGCAATACAGTTCACCAACTCACTCTGTGAATACTCACACACCATGAGAGATCAGATGAGAGCTCCTTTTTTCACTTACTTTTTATTTTTTTCGTATTATAATGAAATATTGCCAATGGACGTGCTTAGATTAAGTCAGCGACGTTCAATGGCATCTCGTCTATGTGGGTGTTGTAGAATTGCTCTATGTCTTTCAGAGTTCGCCTATCGTCCTCTGTAACGAAGTTCACAGCTACTCCTTTACGGCCGAAACGACCACCGCGACCAATTCTGTAACACGATGACAAAGTTACGGCTTCATAAATACAAATGATTACTTTAAAAAATGATAAAGGAAAGAAAAGAGAAATTCTTTCTATCCTACTCTATATTAATTGTCTCTAAATAAAGATTAATCAGAATTATAATCGCAATCTTTTCATTTTTCTTCAAATTTTAATTATTTATCTGAATGATAATACACATCGATAGATAAGTTATCACTAAATAAAGAATGATCCGTTATCGAGCAATCGTGTTTAATTAAGAGATAATAAAGCGTTTAATCGAAATTTCCTTTCTTCTAAACTATTAAATTACTCATTCATTTAAAGAGATGATAAAATGCTAGAATATATATATATATATATAAATTACCTGTGAATGTAATTCTCTCTATTGGAAGGTAAATCATAATTAATGACAAGGGATACTTGTTGCACGTCAATACCACGAGCCAACAGATCAGTTGTGATGAGGACACGAGACGAACCAGTTCGAAATTGTCTCATAATGAGATCTCTCTCTTTCTGATCCATATCTCCATGCATTGCAGAAACCGTAAAATCACGGTGATGCATATTTTCTGTTAGCCAATCGACCTTACGCCGCGTGTTGCAGAAAATAACCGCCTGGGTGATGCTTAGCGTGTCGTATAAATCACACAAGGTCTCCAACTTCCATTCTTCACGTTCAACAAAGACGTAGAATTGCTTAATTCCCTCCAACGTCAATTCTTCTTTCTTCACCAGAATTCGAACTGGATTTCGCATAAAGCATTTAGAGACATCCAGTACATCAGAAGGCATTGTAGCAGACAACAGAATAACCTGTAAAAATGCATAATACTTTTTAAACATAAATCTATAAATGTATAGGTCAAATATACACCCCACATATTTGTGCGACCTCATTTCTAAATACATATTTCTTGAGAAAGAAAAAAGTATATATAAATTTGTCATTTGGATGAGACACTGTGACATCATACGTGACATATGCAACAGGTTGGTAAAATGTTGAAAAAATCATGCTACTTTATGGTTATCTGTTATAATCTATCACTCTGCTAATATGTATATATTTATGTGGATTATCATAATTCATATTCTGTAAAGGGCGTTTTAACTAGATTGGGATTCACTAGGATGACAGTAGTAGTATCACATTATTCCTATTATTAAGTTATATCAATGTAATGTGAAGATCTCAAAGAACAATGAAATGTATCAAATCTGTACAATGTACCTGCCAAGATACCACTAATATAACGCACCTGTATTTTATAATACATTTATAAACTTGACTATAATAACGTATGGCTATACTGCAACTTTTCGTCTTGTATGATTTGTTGACTTGTCCAAAAGACATTTTCTAATAATTGAAATAAAGTCAACAATTAGAAGACTATTTAGAATAAGTGATCTTGACGTCGCATACTAAAGTTTGAACGTACCTGTACTTCATTTGGTAATAGCTTGAATACATCATGGATCTGGTCCTTAAAACCACGCGAGAGCATTTCATCAGCTTCATCCAGAACAAATAGCTTGATGCTACTAGCCCTCAACGCTTGTCGACTGATCATATCGTAAACCCTGCCTGGTGTACCAACCACTACATGGACCCCTTGATTCAATTTTCTCATGTCTTCACGTACGTTAGTGCCTCCAATACATGCGTGACATTCTGCATGCATAAAGTCTCCCAGAGCAATAACTACTTTTTGAATCTATAAAGAAAAACAATGAAAAGAAATATTATATATATATATATAATGTACAAATATTAATATTGATTAATAAGAAATATGTCAACTTACCTGTTGTGCAAGTTCACGAGTTGGAGCAAGTATCAATGCTTGACATTCCTTAATGTTCGTATCAATTTGTTGAAGAATTGATATAGAGAATGTTGCAGTTTTCCCAGTTCCTACAGGTTAATTATTAAAACTTTAGCATTATCAATGCATTAATGTAAACTTTAAATTTGTGTTTACTTAATGAATGTATATTATCTACCAGACTGGGCCTGAGCAATAACATCGTGTCCCCTAATACAGGGTAGGATGGCACGTTGTTGAATAGCAGATGGTTTTTCGAAGCCATAAGCGTAAATACCACGCAAAAGTTCTTCTTTAAGGTTCATTTCATCAAAATTGTCAACGACCTAATTAATATAAAATTATAAAATATACTATAAACTTTAAAAATTTATTTCTAAATTTACACACAGCGTATACAATGATCATAATATTTTTGAACACTATTAATCTATGCAATAGAACAACGAAACTTACAACTTCCCAGTTCGATTCAATAATCCCTTCGGGCTCCATGCCTGGAGGCCCATTGTAGGCAGGAGATTCGCTTTCACTTGGTCCATTTTTGGAATCCCCTGACCATTGTTCATCGTTTCTACTGTGATATAAAGCGAAGAAGAAATGTTAATATTAGTGATAACACATGTCATATTGTATATATCAGTATTATTGTATTAAAAAATTTAGAAATATCCTATGTACAAAATAATTAGCCAAATTAATAAAGACATAAAGTACCTATTAGTATATTTTTTTTTGGGAACACATTTTCCATTAATAATATCGTATATATCTAAAGTATCTTCAATATCAAATATGTAATTGCAAAATGTTTCTTATATATCTTAATTTGTATAATTTACTGTATAGTACGTGTGATACAAATTTAAAATATTTATTTTTTAAAGTAATAAAAAATCTATATACATTTCTAATTAAAAGAGTGACCTACTAAAAATAAGGAAGGTAAAAATATACGAAAATTCGGTGAAATATCGAAAAACGTTACCGAAGAATTATAGTTTTAAAAAAAGGAGAAGAAAAACAAATATTTGATGATCATTCGATGGCTGCTGCACTGTCAGTGACTCACACGTACGTATGACTAAGGAATGGTCGACATTTTATCATAACTCATGCTAACTCAAATCACTTAATTTGGAACATTAAATAACCCTAAATCGTTAAATATTTGTGTTTTTATCATAAAGAGTTAGAATAAAATTTGAATTTCCTAACGTAAGGCTGAAAGAAAATGAAGGATAAAAATGTAGATTTTGAACACGTCGTGCGTCGGCACGCGGAAATTTCTAAGAAAATCGAGATTACATTTTACATATATGGAAAATACGAGGATAGATATTTTTTCAATATTTTCATCGTTACTCGAAAGGGTCATATCGTTTTTTGACATTTAGATAACTCTACGGAAGATAGAAAAAATATATATATTAATATTGCAAACAATGTAACAAAAACGAATGCACGCCATGTTGTCGTCAGTCTCGTGCTCTCGTGCATTCGTCGTTTGCCGCACTATTTTTTCTAAATGTAATCCATACGAATGCCGTTCTATCGTTCGTCACACAAGATCCGGAATAATTCGATATAAAGGAAGATTTTCTATAGGAAAATTTTGATTGAATTAATGCAATTATGTTGAAAAAATCGAACTTACCTTCGTTCAGATGTATGAGACATGTTCCACTCGTGGTAAGTCAACGGAAAGGACGAGTTCCTATTGCGTCACGACGAATATTCTTGTGAACGCCGCACAATGGCGCTGCGAACGATCCAAGGAAAATTGACTTATTTCGACAATACAATTTAAAACCTTTTTGCGCTTATATATAAGCAATTTCAGTTTTTTTCTAACTATTAAATTTCCTTTTATTCTCTATTAAATTTCCTATTCTTCTCCCAGTCTGGATGATTTTTCATATTATTTTTCTTCTACGTCGAGAGTGCGCGCAGAGGGGAAGTTACGTCGATTACCCAGTGTACCTAGCGCCAATTTCGGAAGACGTCTTTTTCATGCGAACAGTGGCACACAATCTTTATTTATTCGAAAACGATTTTAATTTAACGATTTCTGGTAATATTTGTCAATATACATATATACATACATGATATATATATCATATGATTAACTTTCAATTTCGAATGATTTTTAATTTCACATAGTTTTACCTTTACGACGACTCTAGCGCCTTAATATTTAGTTCAAATACTGAATCAACTAAATTACGATATATGGCAAATGTTATTTCATATTCAAGTCTACAACGTGTTCATTTAATTAATAACAGTTAATCATGCTAACTTTTACATCTTATTTATTGTAAAAGAGTCTATGTATACAAATAATTTATTCTTCATTATATTTTAACATTATATATATCTATAATTCTTTTTTTTCTATTTAATATCATCTTTTGATCAAATTAAACATTTAATATATTAAATTAAAAATAATATATTGATGAAATTATGTTTCAAAAAAGAATACATTTTTAATTTTATTTCTTTATTTATTTGAACTTATTTTGATTTCTTATTAGTTCACTTTGAAAAAGTATACAACATTTTCCTTAGATAATATCAAATATAATAATTAACAGTATTATGATAATATATTTGATGATTTAACATTTGGAAATATTTAACACTTTTTATACAATCATTTAAATGAAAAAATATTTTCCTTTCATAAAACTTTAGGCAAGCACCTATTGTGCTGATATGGTAATTCGCAGTTATCTATATAAATGTTATTGCAAGCGTATATTATTTATAAAAATATGTTTTTTCCTACATAGATATTAATATATATGTACAATAACGTACACAAATTAGGTTTTTGATATAAAATTAGAATTTCGAAATAACACAATATACAGTATTACACGTATTTAAACTTTTGTGTTATATACATACATCCATTATATCGTGGTGCATTCAATATTTTATATACTTAAAATATTTAGATTTACATATATATTCCCCTTAATCACATTTTCAACATTTTCTATGTATGATACATTATAATAGACTCCATATTCTCAGTCCATAAAATTTCATATATATATATATATATATATATATATATATATATATATAATATCTATCTAAATAATAAAATGTATATAATCTATAACAAACTATATTTTAAAATTATTTATAAATTTGTAAATATCATCTTTGTAAATATCATCTTTGTAAATCTCATCTTTATAAATCTTTACATAAATGCACAACCAAGTATAAAGAACAATACTGCGATTGGAAAAATGGCGTACACACCCATACGTGGATGGCAAACTGAAATCAATAAACTAATCTCATCTGGATCTAAATCTATACCATCTTTGGTTGGTATTTCTACGATTACTCTATCAGGAGACATAAGATCTAATGTAAACGAGCACTCTGTTTGATTTATACAAGACTTGGTAACATTTTCATATTGAAAAGTTGGTTTATAGATATCGAATAGAGCATGTATATCGTTTGAAACAAAATCATTATCGCTGTAAAATATATAATAATAATATCCATCCTCTACGACATCGTGTCTTGTCTCCATATGTTTTCCATTAACTAAATAATCAACGTCAATACATTTTTCAGAAGGTTCAAATTCTTGCGTCAAAAGAATTGAGCCTTCGTAACAATTAAATAAACCATTTTCAAAACTAGATACAGATGACGCTTCATTGAGATCCATTGTATTTTTATCTGCGGTTCCACCATGTTTGATACCTTGGTCAAGTAATGAAGGTGGATTTACAAGCTCTTGATTTCTTTTTACCCTAGTATTGACTAGCTTATTTTCTAGTTTTTCATCTAAATCTTCCTCTACGTTGTCATTCTCATCGTGTTCCATATTTAATTCCATTTTCAATTTTTCTATTAAATTTCTGTGGTTTTCAACTTGTTCTTGATTAAGAGTATTAAATTTCAAATCTTCTCTTCCTATTTTTTTACTTTGATGCTTTATAATCGTTGATTTCTTTTGTAATTCTTTTTCATCATTCAAGTTTCTTTCCTGACTAGCAAATGTTGAGTGAAGCCATCGCTGAGATCTCTTGGTAGATTCAATTTCCCTTGTTTTTTTCAATGTTACAGGTACTTCTATTGTATAGTTTTGAGTTTCTTTAATAGATGCCAAGAATTTCTCTTGATTAGTATCATTAAAATTATCTGTTATCTGCATAACATTTGTATCATTAAAACTTTGCTTTGTATTATTTTTTCTTGCGATGGCATTAAAAGCTTGCTGATTTATATCTTCAACAGAACTGATACCTTTCATATGAGATTCGAATGTAATTTTAACTTGATCCGCATCTGGTAAGAACATTTCTGTTCCAAGTTCTCTGTTTTTATTTTGTTCCAATATTTCACAAGTACGCAAGTTACGTTCACCTTTCACAACCAAAATAGAAGCTCCTTGAAATCTACATATTAATAATTAGAAATACAAGTTTAGCCATAATAAATTCCATTACAAATATTTTTTAAACATCATAAAATTAACTATAATTTAAACTACATATTTACCTTGAACAAACAGAAAGTAATACCGTAGCGCCTTTAAGCAAATAAAATCCCCAATATTCAAATGTATCATCTGGTAAAATCATACTTTTCTTTAATCTTATATGTTTTTTATATGACGTTATCTCTGGTCTATGCGACATTTGGAATGCGTTAAATGTTGCATTCATTTGTAAAGTATGCGCCTAATAATAATTCCAAAATAAATAATGTTATTTTTAATAAATGAAAAAATTAGTCCATTTCATAAAGTATGTATAAAATGCATGCAGTTATGGAAGGTATTAATTGTTTTAGTCATATAATACAAAGGCCTTCCTAAAATACATACATGCAAAAGAAAGATATGATTAAAAATCTGAATATTTTAGAAGCAACATAGTTCTTACAGAACAAAATATAGTTGATACTCCATCATTGACCTCCAAAATATCAGACTCTGTAACAGCATATGCTACATTAGCATAAAAACTGTGTCGCAGATAGAGAGGGATTAGAATAAGCATCAATGGTAGTACAGTTGTCAATGTACAAAAAACTAATACTCTTTTGATACCATGCATTTTTTTTCTTGTACCTACAAATATGAAAGATACAATTCAATAATTAGTATCTAAGGCTGTCATTGTGTTAGGCAAAATTCTACCATTTAAAACATAGACAAATGATTCTAAATTTTAGTATTAATTGTACATATGCGAAAATACGCTGTATGCGCGTATTATTGTATAAACGTACAAATGAATGTATTTGTGTTTTTTAAACATACTTTATTAAACATGCATGCGTAAACGCATATGTACATAAAAATAACACGACATAAATATACATATGTATGTATGTGTACATACATACATAAGTATATATATATATATGCTTGAAAGTTTAGTATACTACCGTATCTATAAACACAGAGTAGACGTCAGGAAAACCAGTTATTTAATAATTGTTCGAAAGGTAATATTATTTCAAAAAAATCCCTCTGCGGAAAAACATATGTGCGATGTTTCACACAAACATAGTAATTTACAACTGCACTTTAATAGCATGCGCGGAAAAGCACCGATTAATAACTGCTTGTGTGTTAAATGTAAACAATACGTATGTACAAGCTCCTGCAATTACTTCTTCTATTCATCATCTTATCGCATTCAAATGGTATTATTTCTGAATCGTTATTGGACGGCATCTTATCTCTCACTCTCTCTCTCTCTCTTTGTCATTTTATTGACTAACAAAATATTTAAACAATTGTTCATTTATCTCTTCTGTCATCCCTACTTCTTTATTACATATGAAATGCATTGATTGTGCAGTCAAAAGATGACCTCGCTCTACCTTTTTGAGCCCGTTATTTCTATTTTTTTTTATTAATTTCTTTATTTGCTTTTAATATTATAACCGAAAATATAATATATATATGATATTAAAGTAATACTACAGTATTATTATTTTTGTTTTTGTTTTATTATTCAGCAAGTTTAATAACTAAACAATAATTTTTATAATTTTATAAGATTTTATGTTGGTATAAACAAATTTAAGTTGGTACATATGAAGGTTATTCTCTTCTGCCCGAAGCGTATACGACTTCAGCGACAGCTATGGAGAAAATATGAACTATAAGTGCAACTGGAAATGCATCCAGACCAAGCATCTACTGGGAACATATACGACATTATCGCCGCATGACGTCCGCAACGTATAAGAAACTGTAAAACACTTACAATATGAGAGTAATGATATAAAATGTAAAAAATATTGATTGTTAAGTTAATTATATAAGCAATTTTTTTAATTTTTCTGTTCTTCCGTTTCTTACACATCGACCTCATCATTCTTGTTTTACTTCTATTACAGAGATGTAAATATTGTTCGGTATAATCTTGACAGGTTGAATTAGATAATTTTATTTTGTTATTTTAATGTAAAATAGAGAAAAATACGTAAACAAATGTTTTGGTAGTTAGATATTACAGTTTGAATACAATGTACAATATTCATGGATGAAATTCAAATTTCCCCCAAAAATAGGTGAAATCACACAAATGAATGTAACAATAAAGATAGGGTTGAATCAAAGTTTGACATTGTGCTATCATTCACCGTGATGAACAATTTATTAAATCCACTATCTTAAGAAGCGATAAATTTTATTTTAAATATTATTTACCAGCGATGTACACAACAGTTAATAGTAATAATAATGATGGTAAAGTATATCATAAACGTTATTTCACAAGTTAAGTTTGAATAAATGGAAAATGTTTATTTAATTTACAATAAAATAAATGATTAAAACTACTTGTTTGGAAAAATTGGTAGCTAAAAGTTTATTAATACACGATATACATGTACACTATCATCAATAAAAATGAATAAATTGTGACGAATTTTATTAAGAATTTGATAGAATTATAATCTTTGCTTAATTTTTTCAACATTAATTCTAATTCTAGCAATGTGTAAAATTTATTTTTGTAGTTTTTTCCGTTATTTTTGCTGTTCACGGCACAAAAAGTATTATAACCAATATTGAAAATATTGATAATCATGTCCAAGATACACACAAAATGAATGCAAAATGAAATGTACTGAATTTGATGAAGGCAGTCTTGATAAGTTTGACATTTCTGTCACAGAGTGCGTTGCAATCGATTTCGTTGTCCCCCTACTATGTACTTTTCGAGAGATCGTGCATGTCATCAGCGCCGCGTAGCGTCGGCTACCTTATTCAAGTTTTCAAATATATGCAATATAAGAGAAATGATATAAAAAGTAAAAAATATTGATTCTTTATTTAAAAAAACAACTAAATTACTTGTAAAACTACATCTTGTAAGATTGATTGACATACCAAGTATGTAAATATAAAACCGGAGTTTTTGTATAGAAAATACACGTTTATATTGTATGAAAATGATAAAAAATATTTTATTTGAAGTATTGCCCATCGCTAGTTATACATTTTTTCCATCTGTCTGATAATTTGTGGATGCCACGCCAAAAAAGCTATTGCTCTTTTGAGGCAAACCACCCATTTTCATACATCTTCGTAAGAAGTGAAGCGCTGCTCAGTAAGTGCATTTCCCATCGATGAAAATAAGTAGTATTCGGACGAAGCCAAATTTGGTGAGTAAGCCGTATGCGTAAGTATTTCCCAACTAAACATCTCAATCGTTTCCTTGACAAGATATCATTCGACTTTTCTCATTCAATGTTCCTTCTAAAATTCTCAGGAACCATGACCTGTTACATATAGAAGCCCATCATACTTCTTATAGCTACTATAACTGTATTAATAGAATGTCTCACTCTGTTAACTATTTCCATCGACATATAGTTTAATCAATCTATATCTTTTATCAAATATTGTTTAAAATTTGTTAACTATTTCCATCAACATCTGTTTAATCAGTCTAAATTTAAAATTTGTCTAAAAAATTCTTTGTAAATATATTTATTTTTATTATTTATTATTTATTGTATATATTATTTATTATTATTTTTGAAGGAGAGAGTTATATTTTTTTTTTATTATTATCATTTTCCTTTTTACTTGACCTTGTTTGTAAAATTTTTGTACTAATGGGTTTATCCCGTAAACAAATGAATAATTTAATTTAATTTAAAAAAAAATCATTAACGAATAATATTCTTAGCTTTAACAATATTTCTTTCGAAGAGGCACGCGTCGAATCCGACTTGTCTACAATAGGAGGACTACCGAGTTTTAACATTTCGACTCGAGTATTTACATTTATCTCATATCAGTAAAAACTAAACATTCGTATAGAAATAAGGAGAAGCAGTTCGATCATTTCAATCGTTTTGGAAAGTAATCTTGCAAAGTGATGGTAACACACGTTCTCAATCGAATTTATTCTTTTATCAAATAAATCTGTGCTTTTTATTATTTTCATTAAAAAGTACTATCAATTGACAACCGACGAATTAACGATTGTTTACTAAAATATTGTATTTAATTTGTTATTTTCGCAGTGAGTCGAATTATCGTAAATTCGTCGGTATAGAGTATATTATACTCTTTCCATTGTATTCTATAGAATCGAATACGATTTACTACGGTAACCCTGAAAATATTTAACGTTGAATCGTACCAATTTTCCAACCTGACAAATATTTTTTTTTCTCGCTACTTTCGCATAGTGGCGTATCGAAATTAACAGAGAAAGATATATACGTTCGTCGAATTCACGCTTGAATCAGGCGGAAAACCCGACAAAACAATTTGTAAGCGTGACGCGTTCTTTCGTTTCGTCTCTCTCTCTCTCTCTCTCTCTCTCTTCCTTTCCCTTTTTCCAATTTTCATGGTGGATCATCGCCACGATGATCCTTTAAAAGTGCAACCGTTGAAATTCCTTTGGCAATATAATTTCTCTTTGGACGTTATCATCGGTGTTGTGTTGCCGTCTACTTCGAATTCGTCCTTTTCTTTCGGGTTGTCGACCGCCCCCCCTCCAACCCCCTCATTTCTTTCTTCTCCACCTTCTCCTCTTCCTTCCTCCTCCTCCTTCGACACTCTTCCCCTTAAATCTTCTACCATTAAGGTTTGTTTCTCTCTCTCTCTCTCTCTCTCTCTCTCTTTCTCTTTCTCTTTTCTCTCGCGCGTAAGCGACGACGAGCGACGTAATTAGCACCAGTTCAATCCTTTGTGTTATTCACGGAACGTCGAGAACAAGATGATTACCGGGTCTCTCTCTCTCTTTCTTTCTCTCTCTCTCTCTCTCTCTCTCTCTCTCCCTCCCTTTTTCTCTTCTCTTTCTCTCTCTATGGGCCCTTTGCCAGGCGTTGCCAGCCTCTTCGAAAATGAAAAATCGTGCTAACCCACCCCTCGTTTCTTTGGGTATCCGCCTTTTGTCCGCGAGACGGGCAAACTCGTTCAGACCTAGGCCCCCTACGAACACGTTTCTTCCTTCTAGATATATCGTTCCTTATTATTTCCTCTTTCTATGAAAAAGAATTTTAGTAGAATTCAAACAGGTGATATAGGTATATTTTTATAGTCTTTGCTTATGAATTAGTACCGTCGTATATAATATATTAAAAATCTAAAATATTGTAGTTATTCGTGTAAGTTTGGATATATTATATATGATAAATGTATTATTATGATATTAGGTAACACATAAAAAGTTGCTATTATTATGATAAATAGTGATAAATGATACTTCAAGGAGTATTCTTGGTTATTCGATAGTTAAAAAAAAGAAATATATATATATATATATATATAATATAAGGAGCGTTAGTTCGGCTCGAAGAAAGTTTCTATGGAAACGAACGGTGTTAATAAATTGGCTCGATTAAGACAACTCATCCAATCTGGAATCTGTAATGATCGGGCAGGTTCGGTCGTTCTCGCGTAATAATCATCGTTCAGGATAGATCGGTCAGATTGGTTGGGAGCGCATGAGGTGGTGCGGTGTGGTGCAGTGCATCATGCGTTGAAGGCGAGAAGGAAAGAAGAAGTATCAACTTAGGTTTTTCTCGTCGTCGTCGTCGTCGTCGTCTTCTATATAAGTTGAGCTCGTCTTCTTTCGCTACGTTAGGGAACTAACGCAGGTAGAGCAAACACGGAACAAAGGGAGCCTTCCGAGTGACTTGCGAAAGTCTCATCTCTTCTTCTTCTTCTTCTTCTTCTTCTTCTCCTCTTCGAGCTTCTTACCGTTCTCATTTGATGCCGTGACGATGTGAGCACCACGGAGAACACCATGGAGAGCAGCACCATGGAGAGCGCACCATCTCGAGCTCTCATAAAAGCCGCGACAAGGAGAGCCCCCGTTACCATGCTGCCATGGAAAAACTCGATCGGAATCGGACTTGCTCCGCGGCTTCTCTGATTCGCCATGAAGTCGACAAGAAGTCGAGTAAGATGCCTTACGCTACCGTCTTACTCCACTCTTCGCGTCTCTTACTTCCCTCAACGTCTTCTTTTTTTCATTTTTCACAAACTTTTATTTACCGAGTTTTCATTTAATATACCTTACTCGTATATCATTTTATTACACTTCCTCTCCCCCCCCCCTCTTCAAGTTCTTTACGTTTTTCAATACTCACGTTAGTCGGTCGAATTTTCGTTTGAAAACAATGTTGAAATTTATTTTTATCTTTTAATTTCTTTTTCACAAATTATTTCTCAACCCCACCACTCCCCCTGTTCCTCCTATGTTAATCTTCCAGATTTTTATTTAAAATCTTTGATAGGTATATATATAATGTTGTAATGATAAGATGGGCAGATAAAAATACCCAAGGGTATAATTGATTTTCAAGTTGTAATATAATAGTTAGAGGTATCATGGAATTTGTCGAAAAATGTT